GGCGAGCCCTGCTGTGGCCCCGCTCTCCCTGGCGGCCGGAGCGCCGCACCGCGCCGCCCCCCTCCAGGTGCCGCCCCAAGCACCAGCTTGGGTGCCTGGTGCCTGGAGCCGGCCCTGTCTGGAGTTCACTTATGTTAGGTGTGTTCACTATATTAGGAGAATACCAGTGAGGGACCAGAAAATTTCACACACTTCTTGATGCTTACTAAAATGTGTCAAAACCAGAATTTCTTTGTAGATAAGATAGCAGCCATGATAAATTATGACTGCAAATACGTCAAAAGAAAACATAAAGAGATCTTCAATATGACTCCAAACGTTAAATGTTTACCTCAAGAGCCCTCTTTTAGAAGGGAAAACCATCAACTAGTTAACCACATAAGGAAGTTGATATACTGTTTTGAAAAAAGAGAGGGCTGGAACTCCTAACACATCTGAGCTAGAATGGCAAGAGAGTAAATTTTTGTCCCAGTTAAGAAGTCTAATTGAAATTCTCATTTGGAGTCTAGGTGGATAATAGTATTGAGGTAAAGTATATAAAAAATGTTAATTGTGAGTATGCTTTCTATGTTAATTTTAGTTGTTTAGTGATGTATGACAGAGAAGATGACCTTATCTATTGATTCAAATTTAATTTGCATAAAAATTCTGAGGTTAGATTGAATTCAAAACCTCAGATAGATAAGAATTTGTAATAATAAAAACTGCGTTCTGATGTACAACAGTTTGGGGCTAGATTCAAAACAGCTCTATTTCTGCTGCTTGTCAGAGCATCATGAAAACTTCCCAAAGTCAATTAATAGACTGCAAATATGTGGTATGGAATACTTAGGATCTCGCAACCTCACAAAATCATTGTAAAAAGGCACAATTGGTAATCCAGGCATTGGAATTTACCGGTAATTCCTTGTGTAATAATAGAGTATTAATACTCGTTGTCAGTGGTTCAACTACTAAGATGAACAAAGAAAAAAAAATGTCACTTCTCCCATGTGCCTTTTCTATAGTGAGAAAGTCATAGATATGATGGCATTGGGCAATCACTTTTGCTTGTGCCTACGTATACAGAATTAAAACTGAGTGAATAAAATTAACTCCAAATCAAATCCTTTTGAGAACTGTGTGGCTAGTCCACTGTGTACCATGTTTGAACACCTTTTCTGCTTTATGGGAAGCTAAACAAGTACAGCGTCATCAGTGATCTGATGTTGATGGAATAATATGAAAACTCTCCAAACAGCAGTGGCTCTTCACTTTTTACTAAAAATGACTTTTAACTTTGTAAATATTGGTTTCAAGGAGAGTCTCACTAGGAACGTTTGGGAGCAGAACTTGGACCTTATCTGATTTACTGAAACCCAAAACATGTCATCCATAGACGCTGGCAAGCTCAATGGTATAAAATTCTATTAAAGAACTATAAACATGCAGCATTTCTTGGGGATTGTTGCAAGAAAAACGCCTGTGATTGTAATACCTAAAATGGCCAAATAAACATTTTGTAGATGAGAGAGAGAGAGAGTCATCTCTCTCACAGTATTTTATAGTGAATTTAGTTCTATGTATGTCACATCATTTGATTCAACCATTAAAAAAAAATCAACTGCTACAAGGATGTATTCATTAAGGGAAAACATCTATTTATGTATTTTGGTCAATATCATTAATTCAAGCATTAGATTAAGAATAACTTCCAGAGTTCAATATTGTTCTAAAAACTTTATATAAATCATTTCACAGAAATATTTTTTACACAGGATTCAGAAACACAGATGCAGTATAAGGATGTACAAAATAATGCTAGACCAGGGATAGGCAACCTATGGCACGCATGCCGAAGGCGGCACGCAAGCTGATTTTCAGTGGCACTCACACTGCCTGGATCCTGGCCACCGGTCCGGGGGACTCTGCATTTTAATTTAATTTTAAATGAAGCTTCTTAAACCTTTTAAAAACCTTATTTACTTTACATACAACAATAGTTTAGTTATATATTCTAGACTTATAGAAAGAGACCTTCTAAAAACATTAAAATGTGTTACTGGGACGCGAATCCTTAAATTAGAGTGAATAAATGAAGACTCGGCACACCACTTCTGAAAGGTTGCCGACCCCTGTGCTAGACTTTCTATGCTACTTTGAAATACGGTTCTTTCTGTGTTTCATACTGGAACAAATTTTCATCACTACAGCATGTTTTCTTTTTACTTCCCTTGTACCTGCATTTTTAGTTTAACAAAAAGGTTAGAGGCATTAAAACCAATTGCTCTGCACACACTTCTTGCTGAGTGGGTACATTTTGTGAAGAGCAGAAAGATAAAAATAGATGTGAGAGAGATTTGTCATTTTAGGTAGAACAAAATGTTTCTCAACTTGGATATGTTTGTGCCTTATACACTCTTCTATTTTACTGTCGTGCTATTTTCAAACGAACGTTAAAAAGGGATTCTTCCTGCTTTTTAAAATTTTTTATGTTATTTACATATGGCTTTTACCTATCACATTATTCATCACTCGTTATAGCTGGCTACAACAATACAATAGGTTTAATCAGGTCAGAGAAAAGAGGAAACAAATTACAGTAACAGCTGCTATAGTAGCAACAGGCATTGTAGAAGCAATACTGAGTGTGTATTTTTATTGAAATATAATAGTAGTGTAGGGAGAAAGCAGATTACTAATTTTGCAAGGTAACTATCCAGGATAATTAAAATAAGTTAAATACAAAAAGTTAATCATTACAAGATCAATTAAAATTAATAAAGCTTTCTGTTGTTTGTCTCTCCCACTTCTTTAGTATTCTCAGCATCCACAAGAAAATTAAACATAGTCCCCAACAATTTGGAAACCTGACAGCTTGAAATCACTGTCACTATTTTTATATTAATGAAAACCTCAACATTAGGAATATTAAACATGTTTATTCTAAAAACCAAAGTTTATGCAGTAAACGGGATATTTTTTTCTCCCTTTTGATTGGATCTTCTGGGGGCTTTTTTGTTGTTGTTGTTGTATAACCAGCAAGCACCAGAGTAATGCCCACCCCCTTCAGCTTTCTTCTGCTTGGCCCTTCAGCTTCTAACCTTGTGTTTACCCACTGCAGCATAATGACAACGTACCTCACTGGGATCGAATACCTGTGTTCATACTCTTTGCCTGAGACTGAGAGGGGAGAGTGTAGGTTCCAGAGCCTCTTTACCCTTCAGCACTTCTTCTTGGAGGTGATAAGGGTTTTCTTCTCTTTGAGGGCAGACTGCATGAAACTACCCATACAACAATAATTGTAACAAAAACAAGGTTTATTAAAAACAGAGAGAAATAGAATTGCAGCAAGAGAAATAGTTTGCTTAACATATCTAGATTTCTAATTCTCATAAACTAGGTAAGGCATTTTCAGCTTAGTTACAGCTCGTGAAAGCAGTCCTCTGTATCTAACCCCTTTGGTCCTTGTCTCAGCACGGCTCTGCTCACTGTCGGTACCAAGATCCTTGATCCAGGGCAGGTATCTCCACTTTCCAAACCAGTTTTCTCCACCTCAGTCACACTCACAGTAGGGTACCAGATTCATGGCTCATCTTGCAGGAAGTAGCCCACTGAGGAGAGGCAGACTATTGAACAATAAAAGCTTAATGACCTAGCTCAGATGCCAACTTTCACAGACCTGGTTGTATCTTGTTAAAAGCCCTTAGACGGGTTTTTTGTTCTTTTGTCATGAACTATGAATTATGGACAGAGGCCTGGACACTCTTTCACAGCCTGATTCAGCTGACTTTTACAGACACTTATATCCTGTTGCAGTGTTGGGATGAACTTGAAGCCTGTCGGTGATTGATTATGCCCCAGTGAAAGAAATGCTGAATACCTGAATAAAAACTTGGAGATAGTCATCTTTCTTTGTAGAGAATGAGGGAGTTAAGTGTATTTTTTAATATCTTATGCACCTCAGTATATCAGTTTGATAGTATCCTGTCTGAATGCAAGTTAAATCAAAGGGTGCGGTAAGGGGGGAAACTACAAGGGTTAGTAAGGGTCCTTTGGGAAACTGTAGGGAAATGGGAAATAACCCCTGGCTTGGTGCCCACTAGGTTGGCAAAGTTTACTCTTCCGAGGCCAAACTTAGGATCAAAGGGTATACTAAAACCTTAAAGATGCTGGCCTAGGCTGGAAGGGGAGTGCAGGTTTGAGTGGGCTGTCAGCAGCAGCTGGAGTTGTATTCGTGACACACAGAGAGAGAGAGAGAGCGAGCATGCTGCTGCAACAATGCAGACTGTCCCCCCCAGCCCAGGGATGGGCCTAACTGGGCTGAATGGAACTTATTACAACTTGCAACGAAAGATCAGGGTTTAGGTAATGGGAAATATGCATATAGACCTTTATTGTTTTAACCTTTGATTCTGGTTGCTAGGTACCTTTAGCTGAAAGAATAAATAATGCTTTGTTCTGAAGAAGCTATTTCCATGTCACTGCAAACTTATTTTGTCACAGTTTTCCAGAGGAAATGGGCTTACAGGTGCCAAACCCGCATGCCAAGTTGGGCTTTTCAGGTTATCACATTTGGTAAGGGAGCTGTAGCCCAGAATCTAGTCCAAGAATGGTAGGATGATGTGGTTCCACCCAAAGTGACGTGCAGGAATCCAGGCTGGTCACCTGGGGGATGCACTGAAGAGGGACTGAAAGGGGTCTAAATCACAGCTTGCCCTGTAACGGTGGTGGTGATGTTCTAGATTATGAACTTGTTTGGACCATAAATTCATTCTGAAGAGTATGTAACACAGCTAAGAAGTCGTGAGCCAATGTCAAATAAGATGAAAGTAAGCTGTTGCTAGTGCGCTATGGCTGGGTTCGTTGCTCCGTGACCCCCTTCTGACAACAAAAATCACTACAGAACCCCAGGAGGAGGGACTGAAGCCAGAGTCCCCCCGAGCCCTGCCAAAGCCTGAGCCCACCACCTCAGGTTGGGGGGACCAAAGCCCAAGGGCTTCAGCCTCAGGCAGGGGGTTGGGGCCTGTAACCTGAGCCCCAAGCCTGAGCTTGGGCCCTGGGCGGTGAGGCTCAGGCTTCAGCTTCCACCCCAGCAAGTCTAATGCAACCCCATTAAAACGGGGTCGTGACCCACTTTGGGGTCCCAACCCACAGTTTGAGATCCGCTGTACTATGGTATTCAAGATTTAATGAGACTTTAGACTGGAGTAGCAGCAAAGAACATTTGAAAACAATCATCTGTGTGTTGTGTGTCTGTCTTTGCAGATGTAAAGCACTGTATGCATGATAAGTATTGTTTATTAAGAGGCTTGTCAGTGCTCAGCCCGTAGGAAGGAGGAAACACCTGACAACACTCTTGTAACCTCTTCTTGCAGATGAATGGACTATCATTGATTAGGTCCAGAAAGAGCTGTTTCCAGCCCATTGTGACAATGCAGGCAGCTGTTTTGTGTCTTTGAGGGTGGACAGGGACAGTAAAATTAAATGTTCTTGAAGATTCCACTCTTTAAAAAAAAGGGGGGGGAATCAGGGGGTTTGTGAAATACAGCTTACACAGACATGAAGAAAAGCTGTGTGTAAGCTCAAAAACTTGTCTCTCTCACCAAAAGAAGTTGGTCCAATAAAAGATATTGCCTCACCCGCCTTGTGAGCACAACAACAATACTTTGGTAGTGTTGTTTTACATCAAATTTGGGAGTATATAGAGAGAATTCATAATTGCAACTCACCTTGCAAGAACGACTGGCACTGTCATGGCAAATAGACAAATGCTTTATGATTGATCAGGAAGTGATAGATCAGCTCTGCCTCATTAGATTATAACAATTATTATGTTGTTATAGGTTTCAGAGTAGCAGCCGTGTTAGTCTGTATCCGCAAAAAGAACAGGAGTACTTGTGGCACCTTAGAGACTAACAAATTTATTAGAGCATAAGCTTTCGTGGGCTACAGCCCACTTCTTCGGATGCATATAGAGTGAAACATATATTGAATAACAATTACTCAGAATAACAATATATGTTTCACTCTATATGCATCCGAAGAAGTGGCCTGTAGCCCACGAAAGCTTATGCTCTAATAAATTTGTTAGTCTCTAAGGTGCCACAAGTACTCCTGTTCTTTTTATGTTGTTATAACAATCCATAGCCCACTAACGCCTCTTTTTGTCCTATGATTGTGGTGGTTATTAACAGGCCATTTCACATTGAATGGTCCCTTAGAATATGTGTTAACTGCTTATGTTAAACAATCTGTTTCACCTTCTATTCAGCTGTGACACTCTGAGTAACTTTCCAAGACCTGAAGAAGAGCTCTTTATAGCTCGAAAGCGTGTCTGTCTCACCAACAGAAGTTGGTCCAATAAAAAATATTATCTAACCCATCTTGTCTCATCAGATTTCTTTAATGTCCCAACTTCCTTATTGTTAAACACTCTCTTGCTCTCTCGCTCTGTGTCTCATATCTGTGGATGAGCTACACTTTGTGGGTTATAAATAAATATGAGCCTAGTACAGTAGAGATAAGACAACTCTGATAGCCAGTCTCAGGTCAAATTTTTCATAAAATAAATGTTACCACTTTCACTGGATGTCATTATAGTCTTATTCCCAGATAATTACATTTTGAGGGAGATGTGAATTAGAATAAATGTAAAATATCCAAAAGAGAATTTTGAAACCTAAAGATTGTTCGAAAAGGAATGTGAAGTGTTTGGGTTTTTTTATTTAAAAAAATGTCTCTCTAATGGAAAAATGGATGGCTTAAAAGAAAAAAAAATCAAAGCAGCCTGCAATGGACTACATATTGATTGAAATGTGTGGGTGCTCATTTGCTGCTGTTGTTGATTATTATCTTTGTATTGATTGATTTTTAGAAAAAAGAAGAAGAAGCTTGGAATTAATACCTCTAACTGCACGGATGGTTATGACACATCTAGTAAACCACTTAAGTCACTATCCCCTCAGTGGAGGACCTGCTATTCTTCACAGCCTTATTAGTGAGAATCATGACAACTTTTATGTGGAATCTTCTGAGCTGTCTTCAGAAGTCTTCAGAAGTCCAAACTTGCAGTTATTTGTATTTAATGACAGTACTCTTATATCTTACCTTCAAATTCCTGCAGAAACGACCGTGGATACTGAGCCAGCAGGAGCCCTCTCAGATGTAAGAGTTATTGTCAGAGATATCTCAGGGAAATATTCTTGGGATGGCACGATATTATACGGACCTTTGGAAGGCTGTCTAGCACGTCAGACTGGAAATAATTCATTTATGGTTTCGGGCAGTCATGAAGGGCAATTTGAGGCCCAGACAGACTTTTCTCAAACAGAAGAAGGAGAGGATGCTCTTGACGAATTGCTAGAAAAGATTGGTAACACTAGTCCTGAATGCCTTTTACATCCACAGCTAAAATTAAATGAGCCATCACCACCACCATTTGGTATGAGCCATGATCAAGAGAATGAGATCATAGAAGCCATAATAAGGCAGAGTGCCCAAGAAAAAGAGCATGTACATAAATGCAGCTCTGATTTTGATATGAAAGTAGCCAGGGAAGAAGAACCAAGTTCTGCTGAACCACAAGCACCATTTTATTTCTGTAGGCTGTTGCTAAACGACTTAGGAATGAATTCTTGGGATAGAAGGTAAGAATGTATCTATGAATGTATGTTTGTAATGCTGCTGCTATCTAAAAAAACTGAAGAATTCTTCAGTTTCCCTGTGCTATACTCCCACAATTGTGATTTACAAAGATGCTCATGCTGGAGTCCCCTTGGTATTAATCAGATGGAGCCACTGGCATAGCAGAGAAGGATCCCTGGGTCTGAAATAGCCCAATTTGATTAGCTTCAGGGTAGGCTGCAAAATACCTTTGTTTCCCAAAATATTGGAAAAGAGAGAGAACTGTGAGGTTGGTTAGTAGTTGGGGAAAGAGCATTTTTCAGTCTTTACTTGGTTTTGCTGGTTGGGGGTCTATGGGACAGAACTGATGCAGTTTAGTCATAATGAATGGAATTTTTAGATATATATTTTAAGTCATCCTTTTATTTAGATGTGTGAATTATTAAACTTGCGTCATATATTCTGTGATGCATTTTCCCTTAAATCTTTGTTTTATGTATCTATAGAAAAAGCTTTCATCTACTTAAGAAAAATTCTAAATTATTGAGAGAGTTGAAAAATCTGGACTCCCGGCAATGGTAAGTGAAACTTACTCAACAGTTCTAATGTTAAAGGCCACATTTTCAAGGGGGGGCACCACAACGGCATCCCCCAAACTAATCATTCCCAGAAGAAGTTGCCTGTGCTAGCAATGCAAATACTTGTTGTGCATTGAGTTTTTGATGAGAGAACCTTGATAGTCAATAAATCAGCTTATTACTGTTTTCCCCATGCTTTCAGTCCATTTGGGTGACACCCTCTTCACGAGTTTGAAATGAAAAGGTTTCTTGGGGGGGGGTTTTGTTTTTTTTTTTTAACTGGAGTGAGCAAATTACTTTTGGTGTCACTATGTATGAGATTGAATATAAGTAGCAGAAATATATGACTCCTTAAACAAAAATCCTCTTTTCATGCCAGTGTCCATAATGACATAGGTGAAAGGAACTACTATAACTGTATATTAGCCAAGGAATATTTTCCCAAAGAATTTTCTTCAAAATGATTCATATGACAATAGCAGTCCTCTAAAGAGCAAGCTCAAACCCATCTCTTTAGAATTAGGCAATGGCAGAATAGAGTTCTGAATGTTGTGTACTATTTGCCATTCCTTAAAGTGTGATTTTTTTTTCTTTGCAAAGTGACTGTAAAGATAGCATTGTGTCCCAATAATTTTCATAACAAATATGCTCAGTTTACCCCCCAAAAAACCCTTTTTTACACACCTGGGTTCGTCAAACTCAACTTGGGTTCTGAAAGTCCATAAACGTTTTTTCCTTCTTCTACATCAGTAATTAAGATTCTACAGGCCAAATTATGCCCTCATTAACACCTGGGCAATTCCATTGTCTTCAGTGAGGCTGCACAGATGTAAGTGATTAACCCTGTAATTGTAATTAGGTAATCAATTTTTTGCTGATGCACAAAAAGAATAGAATCCAGTTTCCTCCCCCCCCCCAATGGTGTTGACTCTTCAGTGTAATCAGAAGTAAAACATGATAAAAATTAGTTTTTGCCACTGAAGTAGGATGACATGACTGTATTCCTATAAGGAGCAGATCTGTTAAGTAAAATGGTATGATTTTTATAAAGTCACATTTCAGAGTACAGTGCTCTTAATTTGAAGAAAAATTAATTGAACTAACAAGTTCTTCTTCAAGTGATGGTCCCTATGTATATTCCACATGTGGGGTACACATGTATGCCATGCGCCCAAGTCCAGAAGTTCTTCAAAGCAGTGTCCTTTGGTCCATACATGTGCAGTAGCTCTCCTTGTGCTCTTGACCAGTGTTATAAAAGGCAGTGAGGGTTGATGCCTCTCCAGTTCCTTCTTACCACCACATGGCCTGAGTCGGACTCATGTCCTCCTTCACTTAGTTGTATAATCTATTTGTATATAGTTATATTCTTAGACTAATAGTTAGTAGTTAAAAAGTTATAGTATAGTATCGAGTATTTCTTTCTGTCCGGTTGGGGAACCCCTCCCCCAGCTCTGGGACTATGCCGCAAAGTCCTGCGATTCAAAAATTGCGTCTCCTGCCCTTGATCCTTCTCCATCTGTCATGAACATCAACAATGCCTGTACTGTTTGGGTGAGGAGCATATCTCCGCAAAGTGCAATATTTGCTTCTTCTTCCCACCCAGAACTCAAAAAGCCTGGGAGCTTCTCCTACAGAAGCACCTCATGGAGAAGGCTATGGGGCCCCTGTCCGATCCAGACCCAGGAGACCGGCCTCACCTACCTAGCATGTGCCTTGGAGTGGCGCTGTCAACATCTAAACCCGAGGACTCTTCTTCTCGGGCTCCTCATGAGCGCAAGGACAGATCCCTGTTGAGGACTGTCCGTAAGAAACGCATTTCCTCCCCAAAGCAGTCTGGGTTGTGTGAGACGTTGCAAGCGGAACCTAAGGAGCCAGCTCCAATGAAGACACCCAGATCTGAGGGCAAGATACATAAAAAGAAAGGTCCGCCAATTCCGTCGGTCACCCTGGTACCGAAGCATAAGGATGGACACTTGCCAGTTCTGTCTGAGTGCTGCTCCAAATCCATCGTCGGTACCACCTCATCCATCTAAAGACTGTCCAATTGTTGTTGATGCATTGGATCCATCAGACTTAACTGCAGGAACCCATCAGGCATCAGGGCATACCAAGACTTATATAATATCGGAGGATATATTCCTCCTTATCCTCAGTCTCCACTTCTTTCTGGCCCAGCCCTCCTAAAGCAGGGGTTCTCAACCTTTTTCTTTCTGAGCGCCCCACCCCCGCCCCCAACATGTAATTAAAAACACCATGGCCCACCAGTGCCACAACAACTGCTTTTCTGCATAAAAAGCCAGGGCCGGCCCGGCATTAGGAGATAGCAAGCAGGGCAGTTGCCTGGGGCCCCATGTCACAGGGGCCCCAACAAAGGTACATTGTTCAGGCTTCAGCTTCAGCCCCGGGTGGCGGGGCTCAGGGCCCCAGGCTTCAGCCCCAGGCGGTGGGGCTTTGGCTTTCTGCCCTGGGCTCTAGCGAGTCTAATTCTGGCCCTGCTTCGCGGACCCCCTGAAACCTGCTCACGCCCCCCTAGGGGGCCCTGGTTGAGAACCACTGTCCTAAAGAATATCCTTACTCGGGAGAAGGACCTTACATCGCTGTCCCAGGAGCTGTCTCACCTCCAACCACCAGGAATGCCCTGGTACTGATGGCACTGCCACTACCAATGCAGCTGTTCTTGGACTTGAATCAGATGAGATGGCCACACCATTATCTCCATAGAGGCACTCGAGCCCTGATACGCAGTCAAGGGGTTACGCTCACCATTCTGCCTCATATAACTTCCCCAGGGATTGCTGATACTGATTTCCTTGGGGTCCCCTGAAACCGATTGATCCCTCTTTCTAGCCTTATTGGGTCCATTGAATTTTTATGGAAGGTGTCCTAGCCCCTCTCAGGAGTTGTACTGCTTCTCTTCCTCTCGCCAGCCAGTTCTGTCAGTGTAGGAGGAGGAAGAGGTGGAACCAAATCCGCAGGTACCAACAGTTCCAATGGGTGCCTCTTCGTTATCTCCAGATGAAGCAGTCACTCCTTCTCCACCAAATGACCATTGCGATTACCAGGAGCTGTTACAAAGAGTGGCCAGTTACCAACAAATCCCTTTAGAGGCGGTCCAGGACCCTCAACACCAGCTCTTGGACATCTTACAGTCACAAGGACCAAATAAGGTGACTTTAGCCATCAATGAGACCATATTAGAACCAGGTAGTACAGTATGGCACACCCCAGCATCCTGTGCCCCGACACCAAAAAGGGCCGAGAGAAGGCATTTTGTTCCTGCAAAAGGGACTGAATTCTTATTCCCCCATCCTGCCCCCAACTCACTGCTGGTACAGGCAGCTAGGTCATGCTATCAAAGGAACCACCCCAGTAAATAAAGGCTCTAAGAGATGGGACCTCTTGGGGAGAAAGGTCTTCTCCTCAGGCCTGCAATTTCCTTAGCTAACTATCTAGCTTTGTTAGCAAAATATGATTTTAATACCTGTTCGAGGCTTGTGGACTTCACAGACCAGCTTCCCACAGAGGACAGGGCCCAGTTTCAGTCTCTTGTAGATGAGGGGAAGCTAGTGGCATAGGTAGCCTTGCAGGCTGCAGTGGATGAAGCAGACATGGCTTCCAGAAGTTTGGTCACTGGTCTACTCCTGGCTGCAATTATCAGGGTTTTCTAGGGAGGTCCAAAACACCATCCAGGACCTCCCCTTTTGATGAGTTGAATCTCTTGAATGAGAAAATGGACAAGTCCCTGCACTCATTAAAAGTCTTGAAATTGACTCTGTGTTCCCTGGGGATTTATACTCTGACCCTCAAGAGGAAACACCAAAGGCTACTCTATAGACCGAGGTCACCTCTCCTTATGCACCTTATTATCAGAGCAGAACTGAACAACCACACAAATGTCAGAAAATTCATGGACCTTACTTCTCAGCCCTGCTACTGCCATAACCTCTACTCATTCTCAACCATGAGCCAAGAATGTCTTTTCACTGGTCAAGACATGCATATCACCACTGATGCCAACCACCTCGTCCCGTTACTATTGGGGGGCCGTCTTGCATTCTTCGCCCACCAATGGAATAAGATCACTGCATACAGTTGGTTTCTGGAGAGTATCCACAAGGGGTACTCCATAGAGTTTCTCTCTTTCCCATCTCACAAACCTCTTCGGGGACCACTCTCATGAGGTAATTCTTCAACGGGAAGCTGAATCCCTCTTACGCTGAGAGGCAATAGCACACATCCTGCCTCATTACTATGGGAGAGTATTTTACTCCCTCTATTTCCTAATTCCAAAAAAAGACACAGGGTGGAGCCCCATCCCGGACCTTCAGCAACTCAACATCTTTATTTGAAAACTGAAGTTCTCGATGATTACATTGCCAGGTAAGGAGAAGCAGCTGGCTGCAGCTGTAGGAGTGAGGGGAGGAGGAGCTCAGCCGCTGCTTCCTCCCTCCCTCCCTGGACTGCCAAGACACACAGAGATTTGGGCAGGGGCATGCCCCTGCTTGTCTCCCTTTGTGCACACTCCTGATGGTGGAAGTTCCCTTCAGCCCTCCCACCCCCAGGGCTACCATTGTAATAGATGCCTTCCTTCTAGGTGGGGTGCTCACCGGAACAACAAACTGCTCAGGGTACCTAGACCACACAAGAGGCCAGACTACATATAAACCTACTGGAACTGAGAGTGGTCTGCCTTGCATGCAAGGCCTTTCTTGCTTCAAATTCTGTTGGATTGCAGTAAGAGGAGGAACTGGAGAGGCGTCAATACACACTTTCTCATACCTTTGGTTGGGAGCATGAGAGCTACTGTGCATGTGCGGGCCAACAAGCATTGCTTTGAAGAACTTCCAGACTTGGGCATTTGGAGCGCACGTGTGCCCCACACGTGGACTATGGTTAGGGACCACACATCTCAACCTCCAGTTACAGTAAGTAACCTCCACATTTTAAAATGAACTTAGATTTCTTGTTACCTCTAATTGCAGCCGTGAAACTCACAAGATTGCAGTGTTTTACATTGCAGAAGGACAAGAGGACAAATGCTCAATATTGTCCAATGCAAGAGGAAGCCAAGCGTATGAAGATTTTGTTGCTGGATTGGGCTGGGAGGTAATAGTAACAAATTTAGGCAAACTTTGAATGTTTTTGTAGGGATGTTGAAATCAACATTTTAAAAACGTGTAAATTATACATTAGCTACACATTTAAATTTTCAAAACTGGAGAAATAATTTAAACTTACATATTGCATGATATTTGGCAAAAGTTTATTTAAAAAAATGCTGAGCAATATACAAAGCAGAATCCTGACAGTTAATATGTTAAGCACTCCCTGCCACATGTAAACTGTGAAATATTTTAGAAAATAGTTTTTTAAAAAAGGAGGCTAAAAGTACTAATTTCAATTGTTTATTTTTTATATATGTGTATATTCATAGTTTATTCAGTTGTGAAATATTTCTTACCATCAGGTGTTTCAGGGGCCTGCGCTGAATGGCACAACCTGAATGCAACTTTCCATTAACTTTTTAAAAAAAGAAAGAAATTTGCTTTAAATTATTAGAGGAATTACTGTAGGAGCAGCTTGTGTTACATTTTGACATGTTTCAGAACAAAATAAGTTTTCTCCTGTATCCCATAGGTCAGGCCAGACAGTGGTTTGTTGTTTTTCCTCCTACCTGCAGATGGAGATGGAGAAATAAAATAACATTGTAATAGCTGCCCTAAGAAAGGCTAGTTTGAGCTCAACTAAACCAGTTCATTTTCTGTCTACAGCCATGTCTGGATCAATTCTGATTTTAGCTATTTGTAATTTATTTTTATTTTCCCTTTGTTCTGAGATGGTTTGTTTTCTATTGGAGGTATAAATGGGCTAGTGGAGACGGTTTCCACTGGGAAATGGTTCCAGTTATTTTCTTCTGTTCTATCATTTGCTCCACAGAATGCTATATGGAAAAACTGTCCACCATTTGTGGCAACTTCATGGTACCCTATTCTAGGTTCTCCCATTTCCCTTCCTAGATTTTCACAAACACGAACCCCACTTGTCAGATCACTGAGCCATGAAAAGGAATTTCTCTACTTTAGGTAACACAGCTTAAATTTAATCCCTTTCTTGTGTCCAAAGACTTGCTTGAATGATAAATGAATCAGGAGATGCTGAAAACCTGCTGATTGTTGGGACAGTGACCCAAGTCCCACCAGAGAGGGTATCATGTGGTTTTTGTAGTCTCCAAAGTCTCATTGGGGTTCTGAACTCCTTTTCCTGGCTGGTTCTTTCCTCATCTCATGACTGAAGTCAGTGATTCCAGCAGTGAACATGGAAGTTTGTCTCTATGCCCTGGATGTAAATTGATACATTCCCATTATCTGTTTCTCTACATTTTTGTCTTGTGGTCAATATTAATAATATTAATAGGTCAATAAAGCCCTAGAGTTTGGTCCAGCCATTGACCCCCAGACTTCCATCAAAGTGATGATGATGTTAGCTGTTACTCATTAGCAGGAGAACCTCTTTACACATCTTTCTGAGGAAGACCTACTCATCTGAGTTACATTCTGAGACCAGATATTCCAAGAGGTATTGTCTGATCCTTACTATAATCCCAGAGCGAAGTTGTAGTCCAATAACTCCTTTACCCCTACCCTGACTCAGTACTCACTGCGGCAAGCTGTTCTTCCTAAAGCCTTGAGTCAGTAGGCTTTCAGGGATCAGATCTCTGCTCTTGCAGAGGCCTACCTCAAAGTTCATGTTGCTTTGCCTAGAAAGCTTGCATACTACAAAGACTAGCACTCGATAAATAACCTCAATAAATAGATCCATCCATTAGTGGGCTCACTTCCACAAGTACTCTCTTCAGCTCTGACTCATGAGATTTCTGTACCCATTAGAGCTGCTACTCTCTTTCACTAGACCTGAACTTTTCCCTGGGCTGTTGACTGTGAAAGGATATTATCTATTATGGGTCATCTGTAGCTTCTTGACCTGTACTGCTCACTTTTGTCACAAAGTAGCATAAGGCTGCCAGATTAAATCAGAGAGCTCCTAACTGTCTGGGAACTAAGGACCTGATTTTCAGAGGTGTTGAGAACCCACTGATCCAGCGGAATTGAATGAGAACTGTGGGTGCTTAGCACCTCTGAAACTAAGGCCACTGGCCAGTGTCGTTTGTCCTTCTTCATTTCAGCTGTGATCTAAAGGGCAGAGTGGTGAAGATGAACATGACCATGGTCACTTGCATATTCACATAGTCTCGAAAAAGGAATTGCAGAGCAGACTGGCTATGCCTCCGTCAGATCCATTAAGGGGAACCACAGATCTAGGTATTCTTATATGACAGCTATGGGCATTTGCCCCACAGGGACCTAAACATTATACCAGAAAATGGGAAGGTACAGAAGCTCCTCTTCTGCTGTCCACCTTTTGAATGAGGATGATGCTCTTAAGGTTGATGCCTTGTACCACCTACATGCCACAGGTAGTACATCTTTTCTCTTTCCCTGCTAATGGAAAAGTTACATTAGAAGGTGTTGAGATCTTAGGCCAGTGGCATCTCAGTATTCTTCATTTGATCCAGGGCACCTTGGTGCAGTATACCACCTCATCCATTCAGGGTATGTCTCTGCTGCAGCTGGAAGTGTGCCTTCCAGCTCAAATAGACAGACCTGTGTTAGCACAGCTGAGCTAGAGAGCTAAAAGTAGCAACAAGAAAAGGCCAGTGGAGTCTCACCCAGAAGTGGTCCTATTCCATAAAGGAAATTATAGTCAGAAAATTACTCTCCAAAAATGGAATCCTCTTTTCAACAGAGCTGCTCCATGTGTTTAGTCTTACTCGCCTTGCTTCAGTGAGAAAAGTACATTTTTACAGCTGTTTACTCTTGTTAGCCCTGCAGAGTCACTGCAGCGATGAGAAGAGTGAGCTGGATTCTGTTCTGGATCACACATCAACAAGAGGATTGTTAATTAAGGTCCAACTGCATGGCCATATTCTGAACTCATGTACACTGTGCAATCCTACTGAGGTGCAACTGAAGGCAGAATTTGACCTAGGGGGTCCATAATGCTAGTGATAATGCATGAAACAGTAAAAAGAACCTAGCTTAACTTTCAGCTCAGAGGCTGAGTCTGCATGGCTAACAGAAAAAAACAACTTTCTACATGTAAGATAAGCAAATTTGAACCATTTCCTTTTAGATCAGAACCAAAGGCAGTAAGGCAATAAACAAGCCAAGGCTCTGCTCCCTTCCCAACTGTTTATACTCCCTTTCGATCTGAACCTGGTCTTATATGCCCTCCTGTGTTTTCTCTTCAAGCCTGTAAG